TGGTCAAACCTGATTGACCAGGTCAACACTTTTTTAAATGGGTCATTCCAACCCATTTAACTATTTCAAATCATTCAAGCTCTCAAACCCACTTCAATTCATGATTCAAACATAATCAATTTTATTTGGAGTCTAGCCATGGTCAATTTGACCAAGTCAATTCATTTTGACTTGATCAAACCCATAAAAAATACCTCATATTCATTCAAGCTTCAACCCATGGTTTTACACTTCCTTCAAACAACTCCAAGCAGCTTGAATGGACACTTGGCTACCACCTCAGCAGTCATCTTGACTGTTTGACTGGTCAAAAAGTCAAACCAAGCTCCTAAATGGGTCAAACTTGGTCAAAACCACATTTAAACCTAACCCACTCTAGTTGTTTGGAGAGACTCTAAAACATTCCTAGAGCCTTTTCCAGCTTTTGGATTGAGATCAAATGGTTCAAACCATCCCCATGTGCTCACAAGGTGACAAGGTGGCCTTTACATATCACTAGTCCTTGTGTCCTTTGATGCTCCTGCTCCCAACTACCTCAGGGACACATGGAAGCATCCTAGGTGGTTTTGACTGAGTACATGCTTTACAGCGCCTAGGTGGTTTAGCTGGTTCCCCAATTCAGGCCAGGATAAGTTCATATTTACACTACATTAGCTAGATTCGGGTTACTGATTTTCAGTACCCAATTTAGACTTAGACTCTGAGGCAGGCTCGGGCTATAAGACCTCAATCTTCAGGAATTGAATCTCAATAATCTAATAAAATTGACCATTTAAACTTAAAATCTCTTTCAATTAAAATTAAGTCTAACACTTAGGATAGGCTGAGGTGTTTCTGAAATAATTCTGAATCTCAAAACACCTCCTACCCTTCATCCTTTGATTCCAGAAATAAGTGTTCAAATTTGATCAATTCCCAATTAAAATTTTCAACCTCACCTCCTTTGATATCGAACTTTAAAATCTTAAATAAAATTTTTACTACTATTTTAATCGAGAGTATTTGTAGGAAACTCTGAATTCCTACGATGTAAATAACTACGAAGGCTTACGCTTGTAGGAGATTTAAAAACTCATACCAGATTTTTAAAATCAAGTTTTCAAAACTTTTAATTAATTATCTATGGAAAAATCAAATATAACGATCATTATCATCATTTTCAAATAAATAATAATAAGCAATATCTTCTTTCTCCAGAAAGATATGTCGTTATATTATTATGATATTGATTATGAAATTAATGATTTATTATCCAAATTATTATAGTCAAATATTTGATTGAACATCATTTTGATCTTTTGAGATCATATGTTTTCTCTCCTGAGTTTGCCTATGATAATCAGAATAAAATTCAAAGTTCTAAAATTTGAACCCATTAGGGAATGACATATTCGCCTCCCGAGGCGATATGTTATTCATAATGACGTGTTCAATTTCAAATTCAAGAAATTAATATTTCCCAAAGAAAATTAAATTTTTCAAAACTACACTTTTTCAATCAAACAACATCACAAAGAAGGAAATTTTGATGAATGCACTAATCCATCAAAGAAATATCAAGCTCAAGTTGAAGTGTGGTCCTCCCACAATCAACACAAGCCAACATACAAGCAAATATATTGATCTCCTATGAACATTAAAAAAAATAAAAATACGCCATGAACATATCAATTCGCTACCCGAGATGCATGAACAAATTGGGGATGAGTGTAGTTTGACCGGCAATCAACATCAACTTAAAAATGAACACACATATTCGCATGCAAGAAGTGGAGGTCGACATGCAATGAATTGTTAACCAAGATGGATTTAAGGAATTTGAAACAAATGTAGCTTGTGCATATTCGATGCCACTTAACTGCAAATAATTACACAAACCCTTACAAATATTAATGCTCCCTACAGACATATGCAAGTAGCATGCAATAAATACAACAGAATCATTACAATCAATGCTAATTCAATTGCAAGAAAATATCACAATTCTTTAAGAACAACAACGATTGATACATCCCACATGCAAGAAAAAATGGTAGGGGAGCTGCAAGTATGATGGACCCCTTTACAAACAAAGATATGCACCCAATGCACTATGTACAGGAAAGTACAACAGAGATGCAAAGAGTACGAGATACCATGAATCAATATAGGATATTCGTCATGCACACGATAGCTTTCTTATAAGCTAAAGTAGTAGGTCTATGATGAACCATACGATCTGGTAGCAAGTATGATGGTTACATTCGTAGATGATGCTAGAATACATGCATTCAACATAGCTCGCTCGCAGATAATAACAGGAGGCTGAATGTATTCCATCTGCATGAAGTAACATATGACTCTTGAATGCATGTTGACTTCGTACTACCAACGAACAAAATCCAATAAAGCTTGCAATGCACAATAGCTGGCTCACAAGAAGCAAAGAGTGACCCACAACGCAATGCTATGATTCACACGTAAGTAAAAGCAAGGAATCAATAGTAAAAAATTGTAAACTACTAATAAAATGAGGAATTAAATTTGTGTTGCCATACTATCACATCAGATAAATCAGCTCACGTGCAAGTTATAGGTGGAATATTCTGATGCATCGTACAATGTATTCACAGACAGAAGTATAGTCTTGCAAGCTGGATATTGAATAAAAATGATAACCGTGGAAAATAAAATGAGAAAAATAGCACTATAAATATTCAATAAATAAAGTTCAATATGCTATTAAATAACGCTACTCGATCAGCAACACTCATACAAGTGGACATAAGTCATTTACAAATTCTAAAATGAACATTGCCCACTTCCCAGCACTAGACATTTACACAGCCAATCATTATAAAAATACCCTCATGCATCGAAAAACGTGATGACACATTCATAACATACACACACATTACAATATGTAGGGTATATAATATCATTATGATTCATTTTCAATCCATATATTGCCATTATGGATGTGACACGTGTCCTTTAATTGGTAGTTTTGGTGTCAAATGGCACCACAGATAAACGATTATGATCATGGCCCTCTAACTGGGTGATTTTGTCATCGAATGGTACCATCAAATTACGATCATGATCAGAGCCCGTATGTCCCCCAACGACTTCAAATTCTTGAGTAATGAATCAATATGATATGATTGATATTGCACAAAGCCCTCTGTTAGCTAAGGTGAATTTAAATATATCCCCTTAGGCAAATATTTACCCTAGGTCTATAAGATACCCTTGGACAAAGCAACCCATGGTTGCCGACAAGGATCATTCTGTCAAGTTGGGTCAACTACCTCCTCTAAAAAAGTAGAGTAGGGACCATGATAATCAGGGACGACGAAACTATGAGATCTTGATCGAGTCTATCATCATTCCCCCCACATCTGCTTTAAGTGCAAGGTGGTGAATTTCTAATTTTAAATATTAAATTTTCAAATGTCAAATCATGCTACTACTATACACTGGATACTACATATATGTTTGGCGGCTTGCCTTAATCAAAAGTTCTCTCTTGCTATCGGGATAAGTAATTAACTATAGAGGATTGTGCCTATAGGAAACTTGAACTCAGATCATAAAGTTCTTGCAAAATGAGGGTGAAATCTATGGATAATGTCTTATCTAAAACCTAGTCTATCTTCTAAAAATTTGCCTCGTAACTCACTAATTAAAACTCTTCTCAACAATCCAAAATTTGCCTCGTACCAAAGTTTATTCTATATAAAGATTAATATTTTTTTATTTTCTAATTTTTTTTTTAATTTTTTATTCCTTCTAATCCATCAAATGATAGGAATACATATGACTTGTCTTTAGCCCATTAAAGTTGACTAGGATTATAGAACATTAGAACGTTGTGTCAGACACTACTATTCATTAAGGGAAGGATAAATTTTGATTGATTCTCTGACTAATATTTCTAGCTTGCTTTAAACATGGTGGTCTCCTTGTTCCCCTTTTTACTATTCTTGAGCTTTTTTGAGAAAAGTTTCTAGTGAATCATCAAGCAGTTCTCACTTTTGTGCTTGACAATTCTAAATTGGTCACAAAAAATGTTATTTTATGAAGAAGAAGGTTGAGTGTTATCTTTACAAGAGCTCCTCTAATTCTACTTCTTCTTCCTTTTAGACTTCAAGTGTTCTCTACCAATGTGATTAACTATTTGATGCTAATAAAATCACAATAGGTAGGGATGAAAATATTGACCTCCAACTTAAATGTAGGTAGAAGCTCTTGAATGAAGGGGGTAATAACTACATCTTCTTCATCCAAGTCATCATCTTGCATTTCAAAATGACTTTCAACCCGTCGTTTTTGTGCGGCTAGTGCCTTTAATTAAGATCTATCCCCCTTAGTGACTTTCTCTCCACTTATCACTAGAATCTATCCATTTTCTCCATCATTGCAATCATCCATTACTACAAAATCATGAATTGGGTGGCTAAAGCTTCGTTTAGGGCGGCTTTTTTACTGCTTCAAGAAGCAGTAAAAAAGCCGTCCCAAATGAAGCCTAAGTCGCTAGATGCTTCACCTCCTTGTAGAGCTAACATGATGCTATTCCATTTTCCTCCTTGTCTAGAGTACCTTAGGGTGGAAAATGATTCTTGCAGTTCCTCTTTGTCAGCATCATACATTAGGGTTCAAATATACCTAATATTTGATACCACTTGATCTAAAACTCCCTAAAAAAGTAGTGGAAGGCAGATATGCCTATGCGAGCACAAGTGAATCTAGATCTTGGGAAAAAGGAATAATATGGAGTCTTTTTTAAGGCTAGTAACATTATTCCATTCAAGAGTAAGAGAATAATAAGAGGAAGAAGAATTCTCTCTCTGTGATCTCCTGATCATTATCAGATATCAAATAAACTAACGGTCATCATATTTAAATCTCACAGATGGCTACTATCTATGCCTTCTATCATCTATGACTTCTATTAGATTTGAATGAAAGAAAAAGAAAAAAGAATACACACACACATTAAAAATTCTAATCGATAGGTATAGGTTCAAAATCTGTCCATAATCACTAGAATTTTATTTAATTTTCTTCACTTCAATCTATCCAAACCAGGCTTCATTGTCTCAGGAAAAAAAACTACTTAAAGGTCAAATTTCTTTCCAAATAAGCAGTTTTTCATGGCATGAGGCAGATTAAGCTTGATAAACACCGCCAATTCTTCTCTCTTTGAGCAGCTTCTGATCTTTCTGACCAGTATCATCATCAAAAATTTTGTTCAGTATCTCAGCCAAGCGAATTCCACCTTGTGCTATTCTCTTCTCCACTACTGGAAGACGAGAGATGAAATATTCATCTGCTTTTCAAAGAAAAAGAACTTAGAATAAAGTTTGTAGAAATCAATTTGGAACAGAATGTAGATTTGTCTATTTCATTAATACCTCCAAGATCTGAACCTTGCTTGGCGTCCTTATAAGCATAGTCGCAGGCCAGGCGGGCACTCTCGGAAGCATAGCTGTAATTAGTTAGCTCTTTTGAATACTGATATCTCATTGAATTAATAGGCAGGCCCTTGTGTGAAAGATTTCATGGGAAACATTATATATTTTTTTATCTTACTGCTATCTGAACATTCTTAATTTTGCTAAAGACAAAGGAAGTGACATAGAGAGCACAATGAAGTAGAGGAAAAACATAGAGTTCATTAACTAATTGATTCAGAGAGTTCCTAGAAATTGAAAAAGATTGAGAAGAAATCTTTCAAATTATTCAATCAAAAGAAACCACCAATATACAGAGGCATTACAAACGTTTTAAAAGAAATCCTTAACAACAACAAATAAGAAAATTGTAATCACATCGCTGAGTCATTTAAAACAGTCAAAATGGCATCTAACTTGAACGATAAATCATTCAAATATCAATTTGGCCACCTAAATGATGGATTTCACCCAAAATCACCCAGGTGGAGGAAAAACATAGATTTCATTGACTAATTGATTCAGAGATCGAGTTTCTAGAAATTGAAAAAGATTGAGAAGAAATCTTTCAAATTATTCAATCAAAAGAAACCACCAATATACAGAGGCACTACAAACGTTTTAAAAGAAATCCTTAACAACAACAAATAAGAAAATTGTAATCACATCGCTGAATCATTTAAAACAGTCAAAATGGCATCTAACTTGAACAATAAATCATTCAAATATCAATTTGGCCACCTAAATGATGGATTTCACCCAAAATCACCCAGGTGGAGACTGTTCAGGATGTTGCTTCCCCTCAAAGAAGTTGTATCATACGTCAAAGTTAAGCTTTATTTAAGGTTTTGGCTGAATTAAGGCTTGGGGGCCTTTGGGTGGTCTTTGAGCATAAACTCCTCTTTTTGTGTTGCATGGAATGATAGTATTAGAAAAGAAGTATGAAATTCAAATGAAAATTTTATAAAGTTAAGTAGAATGGGAATTGACTTCAGTAATCTTACTTCAAATCAAGTCAACTCACATTACAAATACATGAGTAGAACACTCACGTAAAGCATAGATGAACAATGAAAGAAACTTGCTTCTCATGTTCATTTTGACTAGCACAATAACCTCATTTTAGTTAATATCATTTTAATATTATCTTGATATTTATATATCATAATACATCATAAATTAGAAAGAAAAGTGTCATGTAAGTTTGGGGTTAGTTACATGCCAGGAAGATGGAATTGAGAAATTTAGTTCATTCTATCCTTGCGAGAAATGTGCATCCCTCTCTCTCTCTCTCCTCTCTCTCTCTCTCTCTCTCTCTCTCTCTCTCTCTCTCTCTATATATATATATATATATATATATATATTATCTACACTTATATAATCAAATGATAATTTGAGTTAGTCTATTTTTACTGATTCATATTTATAAATATTTTGTAGTGAATTAAATATAATCTTATTTTTCTGTGTTGAATAATTTCTTCAGCCAGCTCAAAATAAAGCTAGTCCGAGAGTCAAAACAGGTGAGTTATGCCTTGACAATTAAAAGCCAACTCAATCTAATTATGATTTAAATTGAAAATCATTCATTTCCAGTTAAGATTGCTCAATTTGAACAGTAACTCAATTTCTTGTCATCCTACTTTTTCATTAAACATAAACCTCCGATCAAGATGCCAGGCTTAGAATAAGAAGAACTGCCAATTAACTGCTCAAATTAAAAATGGAAATCTTACATGCTTCCACAAGTAAAGTTTTTGGTAGAACAATTCATCCATTGATCAATCTCATCTGACCAAATGTCCTGTAGATAGCTTGCAATTCAGAAGAAAACAACTGACAAGTACATAAATATCCAGAAAACTTTCATGATGAACAATAAAAGATTCATAAAACAATGAACTTACTCTACTGTTAATTTGAATGGATTCAACCATTGTATCAATATCATCATCATAGAATTTCTGCTTGGCTTTCTCTACTATATCCTCATCCCAGACCTGGCAATGAAAACGAAAATGAAGACATAGATCACTTACAAATTTGATAAATTCTTTATTTAGTAATTTAAAAGTTTAAAGATTTTAAAATTAATGTATAAATATAACCTTGTGAAGATTGGTATTCTTTCCATACCACTCCACTTTGATGGTGTTACCTCCTAAATCAAGCTCAGAACCAGCATGTAAAGGTTGGTGGATATCTCCCACAAAATGGGAAAGGAACAATAAGCTTTCTGTTAAGTTATCTAAAACAAATTTGATGAATGATTGTTAGGACTATAACAATATAGTGTTAGGCACTGAATTATCCAATTAATAAAATAGCAACTTTATGAAAGATAATTGTACAATTATTTGATGAATCTTTGCGTTTCTGGAGCTGTCTGGTATAATTGTTGATTGCTCCAACTGCGCACATGTTTATCTCTCCTTTGGTATTGTGACAATCCCCTGAATTAAATTTGATAATTAATGAGAAAAAATAGCATCAAAGGAAATAATTATCTTGTAGCCATTGGATTTTCATTTGATGTGAACAATGAAGCTGAATAAAGTTTCATTTGGGACAACTTTTTTACTGCTTTTTAAAGCAGCTTTCAAGTACAAAAAAAAATAATAATAAAAATTTTGTACAAGAAAGCTGTTTTAGAAAACAGTAAGAAAGCTGTCCCAAATGAAGCCTAAGTATCAAAGGCTAAACATTACAGAAGAAGAAAACACTGATTCATGAATGAAAATAATAAAAATGACATACTTGAATACTGGAAAGTGCAGTCACCAGCACTATCAGCAAAGTGGAGAGTCCTTGACCAACGGTACTGTTTTCTAACATCATCAGCCCAAGGGCACAACGGTGCTAATTCTCCCCCAGCCAACTCTAACACCGCATTCATTGTTGAGTTAGTGAAATGTTCCTGCATTAATAGATATTTATATATCTGAATCTGGGCTTCTTTTGTCTCTGCTTGACAGAAAAAGCCATTAAAAACTGGCTAGAAACTGTTTGTTTTTCAATTTTTTGCAGGATTTAAAGCACGATTTAGTTAAATCCTGACAAATACAATTCTGTTTGTAGGCTTTAAATCATAATGTTCTAATAAATTTATTTTAGGTTAAGTGTAATGGATGTGAAAGTAAATCACATAACAAAACAAATAAGGAAAAAATAGAATGCAACGGAAATAAAATGGCACCTGGATTTAATGTGGAAAACCTGAAATTGGGAAAAAGAACTACGGAGCCATACCACACCAAAAAATCCACTATGAAAATTGAAAAAATAAGTACAAATCTCTCTTCTCTTTCACCGTCTCCTTGCTTCTCTTCTCATTAACACCGTTCTCACATACAAAATAAAAGAGATAAGCCTCTATATACCACCAAAGGATGCCACCCTTGAAAAAAACGAGAAAGAAAACTGTAGTCTGCCTCGAAGCACTACGACGCTCAACACTCTTCCTCCAGTCTGCATGGTAGGCTAAATTTAGAGCATTGCGGTGCTATGCTTTCTGTCTTTTCTCCCAGCAAACATTGTAGCGTTGGGTCGCTCGGGTATACAACGCCGAGTGTTGTATGACAAATACAATTCTGTTTGTAGGCTTTAAATCATAATGTTCTAATAAATTTATTTCAGGTTAAGTGTTAGAGATCTGAAAGTAAATCACACAACAAAACAAACAAGGAAAAAATAGAATGCAGCGGAAAGAAAATGGCACTTGGATTTAATGTGGAAAACCTGAAATCGGGAAAAAGAACTACGGAGCTATACCACACCAAAAAATCCACTATGAAAATTAGAAAAATAAGTACAAATCTCTTTTATCTCTCACTGTCTCCTTGCTTCTCTTCTTATTAACACTGTTCTCACATACAAAATAAAAAAGAAAAACCTCTATATACCACCAAGGGATGCCACCCTTGAGAAAAATGAGAAAAAAAAACTATAGTCCGCCTCGAAGCACTGCGACGCTCAACACTCTTCCTCCAGTCTGCCTGGTAGCGCTGAATTTAGAGCATTGCAGTGCTATGCTCTTTGTCTTTTCTCCCAACAAATATTGTAGCGTCGGGTCGCTCGGGTATACAACGCCGAGTATTGTATGAAAAAAAAATTTAAGGAAGAACCCCCCCCCCCCCCCCCCTCATCTGATTGATTGATCGACACAATCAGATGCCACACATACTAAGCAAGGATTTGTTAAATCTCAGGGACTTAAAGGGAGTTTGAATTATGAAACAAACAACTAAATATTTTATCAGAAACGAGATCTAATAATTATCATGATTAAAAATTTTCAGATTTCACCATCTATGGATTTACTGAATCAAGATTTAAAGTATTTAATAAATTCTGATGGTCTGTAACCAAACAGATTGTAAGACTTCTATGGTTGAGAAATAGAACTGAACTTTCAGCGGCTGTTTGTCTACAAGCAAGTAGGATTTAATGAAAAATATCTATGTCAAGATGCTCTGATTAAAAATAATTAGGATGGATCTTATAGCCTTCAAATCTACTCTTAAATAAATAAAATTATATTACACTCATCTCAAAAACAGATTAAAGTAATTTAAAGTACATCCTATCAAAAGTTTTATCAGAATATCATGACACAATTTTTTTTAAGTATTTTAGGAGAAAAAAAAATTAGCTATGATATTTTGATCAAATTTTCTATTAGGACAAGATTTACAATTTTTATATCCATTAGAAGTTTGAATAAATGATTTAACTTTTTTGTTTCATGATTTAAATTTTGTGAGAGAAGAAATCCATAAATCCTTTGAATTTATGATTAAACTCCAAAGCTCTGAAATTTCTGTTCAATACAATTTAAGCTAAAATTTTGTCAAATCCTTAAGGATGATACCAAAAAGCCCCTTAGAGAAACTATTAGGTGCGGAGTCCGGACGTATTAGATGTGGAGTCTGCACGTAAAGATATGTTCAGACTCTAATAAAATGTTGACATGTGGAGTGGACACGTGAATATTCAATTGAATTTATTTTTTACTTTATATATTTAATGTATTTGTGGAACTTTAAGCCAAGCGCAGGTAAAGCACAGTCAAAGCTCAAGTAAAAAGCACAACAAAAGAGCGGTCAAAGAGCAACTACAATGCAACTAAATAGCAATTAAAGTGAAAGTAAAGCGCAAGTAAAATGCACAAAAAAGTGCAACAAAAGCGCACTCCGAGTGTCACATTTGAAGTGGATGTCCAGACGTATCCCTACGTCCAGACTCCGCACCTAATAATTTCTCCATAAATTGACCTAAAAAATTAGGGTTATTTTCGCAGTCATTGTTGTCAAAAGACAAAGGGGCAAGCCAAGTAGTCTTGCTTGGGCAAAAAAAAAATCGCTAAGAATATAAAATGCAAAAAGTGTTCAGGAAGTAACTAAATGTTGAATATTTTATTAAGTTGTTCATTGCAAATTATAAAATTAAGGAAAAAAAAAACTATTCAGCATATAAGCAAGCTCAGGATGAGCTTAATAAAGTCAATAAAACGCAATGAACAACTTTTGTGGGGGGAAGAAAGCGAAAGAGAAAAAAAAAGTCAATAAAACGCATCAGGATGAGCTTAATATCTTTAAATTTATGATAAAAAACAGTGCGATTAATTCAAAATATCATATTCAACACTAATTTTAATATAAATTTAAAAACTTTGAAGCTCATAAAAATATTATGATATAATTTTTTTTTATTTAAGAAAATCATTACATACCTGTGCTATCTTACAGACCATGACATGGCCCTCTATTCCCCAGCCACTGGAGACTGGAGCTCTTGCAATGAGGTAGTAGAGGAAGATATGGATCAAAGGAAGAAGCCATGCCATTTTCTCCTCCACTGTACCACTTCGCTCGCACCTATTTCCTTGCCCTTTATCAGCTTCTGTAAAGCTTTAGAGCACACGGAGATATTATTCTGTGCCGAATAGGGACGGCGGACATGTGAGTCTGCAAACGTGAAACATGTGCTATAGAATATAGATGTGACACATATCGTATATATTACGTACACATAATATTGTATAATTACTATTCAATTTTACTATGGAATTTTTTGCATTGGAAGAATTCATTTGATCGCTATGAATTTTAATATGCTATTTGAATTAATTTTTTTTAAAAAATAAATTCAAAAATATTTAACTCTGATTTCAACAAGTTTATAATTGAATTGAATGTCTAGATGTGATGAATTCATCAACATCACGAGGGATTTGATTTGAGTTCAAATGAATCCAAATCAAATGCTTAAAATATAAATAGAATCTTCTGGCTCTTAATTGGAAGACCAAATAATTTTTAAATTTTAAGTGTTTATAATTAAATTAAGCAAATCGATGAGACAAATTCAAAGAGCCCAAAGTCATTTGATTTCTAGATCGTAAAGTATTCAAATACTAAGTAAATGATTTATTATTAATAGAGTATTTTGGATAATGACCAAATTTATTAAAATATCCCTCTTAGAAAGTTATAAATAAGATTCCTCTCTCTCTCTCTCTCTCTCTCTCTCTCTCCTCTAATACATGAGATATTTAGGAGCTAAAAGAGCTAAATAACACCATTTTATTTTTGGGCAATCATCACCAACAACACTACCAGCAATTGCCATCATTATTACCTTAACTTTTATTTTTCGACTAGTGTTGCTTGACTACAAACATCAAAATCAATTAACGGACTTCAAATATTCACCTGTAAACATCAAAGTTATATAATTTCTACAACGAATAACAACATTTATTCTCAATTATTTAATCACATATTCTTCAATGGTTAAGAAGAGTTTGTTATGTATTTATAATTATATAGTGGATTATTGTAATTGGGTCACAACCCATAATTGCCCCCCTTATTAGTTTTTCTCTTCTGAACATTATCTAAGCATATCTGATATTACACACAAATGAAAATAGCATGTGGGTCTTCAACTACCTCACTTGTGAACATTATGCATCTCGTCTCCTCAACATGCAAAAATGGCTTTCATATATAAAAAATTACACACTGAAAATAAAATTACATGGGAACAACATGAACTTGCACACAAATTTTCTCTAAATTTTATGTTACTTGCTAAGAAAACACTTCAGCATTTTCACTCAAAATATAATAATTATCAATATAATGAAATCAACCTATCAATATGACACATTATACGCAGCTCATCTTGGTCTGTTGACTGGAAGCTTTGGCTACCAATTAAGGGGTTTTGGGTTTGAAGCTTACATATGCGATGTATGTATGAGTTTACTTTACTTGGCTCAAAAGTATAAAAAAAAAAAAGATGTACACATTATAATCATTGTTATACTTTTTACATGCAAGCCTAAGGATGTCTAAGGTGGTTTGCCTATCACACACCTTAATTTTGTGCGCTTTGAATGGTGAAAACATCTAAACTAACCCACAACCATCCAGGGGATTCTACTAAATGTATGAGCAACATAATATATAGATGGCGAAATTTTTAAAAGGAGCACATTTCATAAAAGTTTTAAGAATAGGAGGAGAAAAATAAAAAAAATTTAAAGGGAGCAGAAAATTGAACAGGGATCCCGTTTTCTAAAGAAAATGCAAAGGAGGATTGCATTTTCTGTAGAAAACGCAAAGGCCTATTGCATTTTCTATGCAAAACGCAAAGGAGTATTGCATTTTCTATGAAAAACGCAAAGATGGATTGTATTTTCCATAGAACATGCAATTTCTTTACAAATAGTAATTGTTATAATTATAATTATAATTTTATTTCATAAGATAAATTTAATATAAATTTATATTTCATTTAATATAAAATATTTAGGGCATTTAATATAAAAAAATATAATTACTAAAAATATGTTATTAAGAAAAAATTAATAGTTATGAATAATTTAAATATATAAAAATTTTAT